TCCAATAGTTTGAGAACTACAGAAAGTATTCCAGGAAAAATTTCGACGTCATTTGTATCTTTGGCATTTGGACCACCGGGCACTAATAGAAAAAGCGATCCCAACGCTTGAGCACATGTTTCTCGTACTGGCGCGACAACTTGATCAGAGACGAAGTCTCCGAATCGATCAAGCCCTAGTACACATAACAATCGTAAGGCAGCGTCGATCACCCACTCGTAATGGCTCTCTTGCATCTCCTCCACAGTTTGATCCGTGGACTTTCCCGCCCCTGTGTATTTAAGCTCATTTTAGCGCTTTAACATTTAATATTGGAGGAAAGTGCCCTATCGCGAGGTAAGCTTCTAATGTGGGATAGCGGTTTTCAACATCCAAATTCAATCATAAATCCTTTTTCGAAACGATTATATGATCTAACGATGAATTTTGCACTAAACAAATTTCACTTAAAGGACAATAAGTTCATGGTGGAACCTACAAACGATGCCCATTAATTTAGCAGAAAGCCCGCTCTTATATTAGGAGCCTGTCTCATAATAAGGGACTTTCCTGGACTTTTGGCAGAGAAACATGTGTCGTTATAGATTTACACACCCTTCCCATGAAGTCTTATGAGTTCCCGTAAAGCTGTCGCTGCCCCGTGACGCACTTCCCACTTTTGACTGAATAAATCCTGGCAAAGACTCTCCGCAAAGGATTCTAAAGGCCAATCTACGACAGAATCTGGCCAGCATCCAGTACCATCTGGCACTCCGCTCACTTGCTCGTTAGATATGCCGCACTTTGATCCAGCGTCTGATGAGATCGTGTCCTCTAATATTACTTTTTTTAACGGTGGTTCACCAATGTTGTTTACCGGAGACTGAACATTCATTGAATTTGGATAGTCATCATTCGCACGGTGGTCATCCGGTTCACGCGATCGTTGTTTCGTCACGGACTGTCGTGCCTATTAATATATAAATAATTTATGTTGGCTGCAAAATTTGCAAATAAAATACACGAGACACGTCAGGCAATTCTAAATATTCCTTATTTGTACTTAACGCTTACTTGCATAATTCAAATAAAGCAATAATTTAATAGACATTGAGTATAAATAGAATAGCTTGAAACTGTTGTAATACTTTGCGTTTCGCTCTATTCATCTCTCTTCTGCTCAATCCTCCCGATTGTTTCAAGGTTTCGTCGACAGGTACAGTAGGAGTTTGTGTTGCGCATGGCGCCTGTACTGGAGTAAAGTCTTCGACGGTAAATAAATCATCGACGCCCATCAGACGTGGATAAAAGCCTAGTTTCGCAACTAATTTCTCTTGCTGGCTGGGAAGCGACAGTTGCTCCCCCTCTGATATATTTAGGTCGTATTCGCTGCCCTCAGATCCAGTAAGATGTGAACTACGAGCTAGAACTCTGCTCATATCAAAAGATTCTAAATTCAATCTGGTGATGGAAGTCTTGCGCTTCATCACCTCCGACTCATCTGTTGATTCAAAACAGCCGTGTATCGTATAATTGGACCTCCCGAGGTCTCTCAGTTATTAAAGGTGCGCAAATTATTTGACGAGACATCAATGTTACCTATAGAGATCTCCTTCTCAACTGGCTGCGGGTCCCAAGGTGGAACTTGGGCAAGTATAGCTTGCACAGCGTGGGCCGCCGATATTCGAGTGTCCCATTGTGGAGATTTTAACAAGGTAGAGACTCTCGCTAATAAATGATGTAGATCATGAGGATGTAACCTCTGCGCCTCTCCCAGCTGTTGCGCAGCTGCCCTTTTGGTAACCGCGTTTGTTCCGGTCTCCAACAATATAAACAGCCTGTCCAATCTGAAGGTTAAAATGCGATAAGTACATACATGTATATAAGATGCGGGTAAAAAATAAACAACTTCTAAAAGCATTTATTTGTTTAGAATGTATCTTTTCTAATACATTCTAAATACACAACTGATATAACGGCGTTTATTAATATTGATTTTTGTTGAAAGCGTTTCAATGTACTTAGCATATATATGAGAGAACAATTACAAGGAATATATAATTTTGTTATACGCTTACCTTGACGTCATGGTGATAAATTATATTGCTGAACAGACGATTCGTGAATACCTTAAATCAAAACGGTAAGAAACAATTATGGCTTGTCGACATGGAAAAACTTGTAGCAATATTCTTGACGCGCTCCACTCCCACTGCTTAAAATTGAAATATAAACCAACGACGACAGTGGTATGGCTAGATTTGAGGGATCGACACCGGGCAAGCTCGCTCCTGGCATCCTGGAGATGGTTAACTCCGAAGAGTGAAATCGCGGTAAACAGATAAACTATTATCGGTGGGCCGCGAGTAGGCGATCCGGAGTGCGGTGGACGGGGTGGCGATGACCAAGTGAGGGACGCGTCGCTGCTGGAAGTCGGCGACGACGGCGACGGCGACGGCACGGCAGCGATACCCCGGGGCCTGGGGCCCGGGGCCCGGGGGATCGCGCGACGCCAGCGGGCCGCGCGGGGAAAATCACGGCGCGTCGGCCTGAGCGCAATATGGACATAACGAGGCGGTCGGTCGCCGTGGGACGAGCGACGAGCGACGGCGGTGGCTCGTGCGTACCTGCTTTCTCAAAAACCGTCCTCGCTGCCTGGCTCCGACTTCAACTGACTCGCGTTGCCATTCCCGCATTGCCGGACACGCCAAAGTCACATCACGCCGCGCGTAACGCGAAACCACGCTTACGCTTGACAAATTTCTCGGAGAGAAACTCATGTTACAAGCATCAAATTTATACTGACAGCCATATTGCTGAGGAACCTGAGTTTTGTCCCCTGGTTTCGCTCTGATTGGCCGGCGGCGCGCATGTCACCCGCTGCCCGGCCAATCGCCGTCCTCCCCGTTCAATAATCGTGCGAGGGCTGGCGAGGGCACGCGAGGGCACGCGACGCCGCGACGAGTATTTGCGCCTCGCGCTGCCTCTGCCGTCTGCGTCTGTCGAGTTAACGGCGGACCGATCACGCCTGCTCTCGTTCCAGGCGCCCATTATCGTCTCTCTTGCCAAATTTTTATGATAAATAGAAAATGGAAATAAGGCTCCTATACAAAACAACTTAAATTAACCAAAGTAACGTTAGAGAACGTTTAGGCAATGTGAGCCGCACCCGTTGAAAATGCTCCAACAATCTTTTCTTTATATATATTGCATTGGTATTAACAGATTTTTAATCTAAAGGACCACATAATTTCACAATACAATTGCACGTTTCGCAGACCGAAGTTGTTTTATCGATCGAACAATGAAATGATCTCGCCTGTTATTTAATAATCACTGATTCTTTTAGCACGTGATTAATATTCCAGAATTAGCAATTACTGTCTCTACAAACCCAGATAGCCAAATCTGCCAGAACAGATTTCGTCAAATGCCCATCAGAAATTTTCAAGGCAGAACTGATATGTTCGACATGCTGCCAGCGTGCCAGCAGAAATACAATAAAATCTGCTCACACAACTGGACCTGTTCGATTTCTGCCAACAATTTGTTGACAGCGTATGTTTTACAGACTCTGTTGCGAAAACAAAAGCCAAATGTGGACACAGATGGCTATGCTTTTGGTGTGGGCTTCCGATAAATCTCCTGCCAATCTACTAACGTTTTGCCGACTGGGAAACATAATGGGTTATGAATAATGAGTTAGTTTCGCTTAGATCGCTATTTCTAGGTCGCTCGATATGTCAAAGCAATAAATAGAAAAAAAATGCACGCGTATAAAATGTTAGGATTTAAAAGAAACGGGGAGAGGAGGGAAAATATAAAGTGGGAAATTTTTACGTACAACATTCCTTGATAATGATTCTATTAACTTTATAACATTGATAGCAATTCTTGTTCATTATTTCAATTACGTACTTGTAAATATTTTTTGTATTTATGCGTTTACATCACGCGAGATAAAATATATCAGCACATGTACAGAAATTTATCAGAGGAAAAAAGATTGTGTGTTGAGAAAACACACGTATATATAATATATATTACACTCGCCGGAACTATTTTGCTAAAAGTATGAAAGAAAGACTTCTAGCGCCGTCACTGACTTCGGGTTGACCTCAAGAGACAGTTACAACTTTGACGCAATATACACCAATTATAACTACTGTTTTATCTCCACTCTTTTTTTTTATTAGTCAGCCTGTATACCTTGAACATATCTGTTGCGTATCTATGACGCATTTGTCATTATATTGATATGCATATATCTTAAGACTGTTTATGACACGCTGCCTCAAAATGCGTAGACTTGTTTGCTTTAGTAAATTATATATATATAATATGTATATATATATATATATATATACACGAGTACAAATAAACGACCGTGCGAAATTATATGTCAATATTTTTTTATTTCAATTATTGTATTATTTCAAATACTTGTATTTCTCAGATAGCGCAGATGAAAATATTCACTTAAAAAAATTTTTTTAAATTATCGTAACCTGTTCAAAATAAACTCAAAGACTTTTTTTCCGGTACTTACAGAGTATTAAAAGAATTCACTTTGCGTCTGGAAAGAGCTCAGAATTGGTGATACAAGAGCGAATTTTTTTTTCACCAGAAATGGAACGAAAAAGAAATTAGTGACATAATTCGGGAATTAAAAAAGAATTCTTTTTGGATTCTGTGTTATCTGAAATCCATGTAGATAATCACTTGTATTGTTTTTTGACTGCTTATATATGTATGCCACATTACTGATTATTTTGTACAAATCCCCTTCTAAGTATATAAAATTATTTGTGTAATTTGTATTTTTAATTGAAGTCAAGTTAATGTACGACTTTCACATGATGGAACGTGAAAGATATATGTTCTTAAAGTTATTTCTTTAGAAAACCCACTCGTTTTTTAACAGTTCTATTATGTGCATAGATTTTTATAACTTATACCTCTCTGTATATCTCTCTCCTGTAAGTTTTAAGACAAGGGATTATTTCAAATAAATTTCCTCGCTAATTTCAAATAATTTTAATCAACGTTTGATATTAGATGGGAATTAATATAGCCAATATAATAAATTGTGTATTTTTGTGCACACTAAGAATATTTATTCAAATGCATCCTAAACAGCTGAACATGTTTCATGAAGCCGATGCACCAGTTACTTTTATTCTGATCATCTAGATATAGACACTCTATCACTGATAGAATACAATTAATGATATTTGTAATTCTTGTGATGACCTAAAATACGGAAAAAAAGAGAGAACATTAAACATGAACTTGTACGAAATTAATTAATTATCCATTCTTCTATACTCACGTATCTTCTTGTAGTTCATCACATAAAACACAATCATAGAACCCACTATCGCTTGGAAGAACGGAGCTATGCCGGTTCGTTTAGGCTGCACGTACTTATGCTGCCAACGCCAAAACGCTGCAAAACAAACGTAGTGATGTCAAGGGTCAGAGCACAAAGCAACGTATTAGCTTAAGGCCAATGTCCACGATGCTAGAACTTGGTCCAAGTTCTAGTTTCAAGAAACGTGTAGCCAATTAATTTGCAGCTTTTATGGAATAGCTGTACGTTGATTGGCTACAGATTTCTCGAAA